ACTTTTAATTCTTTTTGTTAATGTCAAAAGGGGGAAGATATCAAGGTTATGCATAAATTGAGGGGGAATTATTTTTTCAAATAAAATGGCATCTATTAAGGGGGAACACTTTTTTAAAGTCTCAAAGACTTCCTCATATGCATAACCTCATCTCGTTTGCCATTATCAAAAAGGGGGAAATTGTTGAAACACGGGCATGTCACGTTTTCGTACTAAAGCCGTGTTTGTTTTTATGACAGGTTTTGATAATGCCAAACCGCCGTGATCAAGTCAAACTTTGAATATACAAGGCGAAGAAGGAAGACAAGAACAAGAGCTAAAAGAAGACCAAGAACGAAGACCTTAGTCTTAGTGTCGTGAGTCGGTCTTCATTGTGATCAAGACCGACCCAATCTTTACACCTTGGCTCTTTAGGCCAAAAACCTTCATTGCACTTCTTAAATCATAAAAATGTTTTTCAAACATGTTTAAGTCATTAAAAACACTTGGTGTTCGCCCAAACCAAAAACCAAGCCATCCGGCGTTCGGGTTTCAGAAACCGGCGTTCGGCTCTCGGTTATCGGCTATGGTTTTTGGCGTCCAAACCAACCAAGTGGTTTTCAACTTTTTATGATTGGTTTTCACTCTTTGGCATGTTTAAACGGTTATCCAACAAAAACACTTTGAAAACCATCTTTCGCTTTTGCTCGTTTGACAAAAATCATTCAAAACGGCATAAACTTGGCTAGCCGTGGTTTTCACTCAAATGACGTGGTTTTTAAAGTGTCTTACTTGATTTCTTAGCCAAATACATCAAATAAGTGTTTTAAACATTTGGTTTTTTATTTTGGAGAACTTTGAATTTTTCGGTCGGGTTTCGCATCCGTTGGCTAGGCCGTGGTTAAGGCAAAAACCATGGGTTCTTGACTAACCACCCACCCAGCGATGGGAAGATCTTCCCATCGATGGGTAAGCGGCCCCTCAGCCAAACCAGTTTCCAGAACCATGCCAAACAGCGATGGGGAGTTCTACCCATCGCTGTTAAAGCCTTGGTGCAATATTAACCCAAGGCAGAACGACCTTGCCCAGCGATGGGAAACCTATCCCATCGATGGGAACCCAGCGATGGTAAGGGTATACCATCGATGGGAAGGCATGATCGTTGGTGGTCATTAAAGGTTGATTTTTTCCTTGTTTGGAAGTCAACCTCCCACCCAGCGATGGGAAGCTTGTACCCATCGATGGGCAGGTGACCGCTGACTTCAAAACTGAAGGAAAATTGGCTTACCAGTGATGGTTGAGTCTAAACATCGATGGGAAGCCAATATCCTGCAGATCCCAAATTTATTCAATCCCATAAATCAAGCCAATCACCCCTTTAATGTATTGGTCCGTTGGAGCCTATTTTGGCACTTTAAAAAGGGGTGTTTGGGTCTGCTTTTCTCACCAATTCACTTCACAACATCCATACTTTCATTGCATTCAAATATCATAATTTTCCATAGCTTTCTAGAGCCATTTGTGTGTGAAGGTTGAGTTGTTCTTGAGCGTACTTAGTTTACTTATAATCTACTCTAAAAGAGAGTCTCGTTCTTGAGTGTACTTGTGTTCTTAGACACGTTGAGAGAAAGTATTTCTCTCGTTGATTCAAAGGAAGGTCTGTTTCCTTTGAAGGATTCGTTGAGGTTCGTGTGACTCGAACTCTCAAGTTGTAACGGTTTGTTAAGCACCCGCAAGCTTAACGAGATAGTAGTGTAGCTCGAGAGAGTCTCTCGGGAGGCTGGATTAGCCACAAGTTGTGGTGAACCAGGGTAAAATTCGGTGTGCCTTTTACTCTTCTCTTTACTTCTCTTTTA